ACGAGGAAGTTGATGGAGACGACGGTGGTGCCACCCCGGTCCCCCTGCTCGTACCAAGAGATGCCGAAGAGCTGCCACAGCCAGAAGGGCAGGAAGCAAGTCCAGTAAGCGAGCGCGGTGCTGGAGGTCATACACAGGACCTTCCGTTTGGGACATGGGCTGGTTTCCTCCATGCTGAGAACAAAAGCCTGCCGGGACCTCCAGTAGGTCCTAGCCAGCTTGGTGTACAAGCAGCAGACGATGATGCCCGGGGCGAGGATGCAGGTGTTGGAGAGGACGGTGAGATACACCTTGTAGGTTCCCGTCTGCCAGGCGGGGTGGCACATGTGCTTGGTCACCCTGCTGCGGTGACCGGTGTACAGGTCGATGAGGATCATGGCGGGGAGGGCGAGGAGGAAGGCCACCAGCCACACCAGGCAGGTGACCGCCCACCGGTGGTCCCTCAACCTGCGCAGGGTGTCGAAGGGGATGGGGGGTAAGAACAGAAGATCGGCCAGGGCCAAGTTGACGATGTACACGTACGTGGAGCCAGTGCACCCCGTGGAGACCACCAGCGTGTCGATGTTTCCCACCACCCCAACCATGCATGTGGTGGCCGGGATGCAGCAGAGGAAGGAGGTGACCAAGAGGTCACTGGTGCTTTTGGAAGAGGCGGTGGGCTGGGCGGTGGCATTTTTGGGCTGGCAGGGCACCGATACACATGTGCTCACCTCCATCCTCCCTCGCCGAGAGCCGCCCCGGGGAGCTCTTCTGGAGGAAATCGCGAGCTGCAGAAGCGGGAGCTGCCAGCTGAGCCCTCCCGGCGGTGTGCCGGCGTCAGGACGGGGCGGCAGCAGCTACCCCCCCCCCCCTGCGGGCGGGGAGAGCCGCTCTCCCAGGCGCTGCCTGGAAAAGCCATTTGCCTTCCCCGCACACAGCGAGGGGGGGGAAACCAGCCTCAGTGGAGGTGGGATTTGTCCCTCTGCCCTCGTGGCAGGGATGCCAGGACGCCCCAGCCGCCCGCCAGGCCTTCCCGCTGCCCCGTGCATTGCTGCAGACGGATCATTTTCTATGAGATTTGTTTTTAACTGCTATTCTTTTTTATTTTTCTCCATCTCCCGGGTCTCTCCAGGTCTGCGGTGCTGGTTTGACCTCGGGCTGGGAGGCTTCGTGGGCGAGGGATGCGGCCCAGCCCTTGCCCTCCCCGGGGGCCCAGCTCCCTGTAACCAGGTATCAAAGAAATTAATGTCATCAAAAATTCAGTGGTGTCTTGTCCCCAAAGCTGCTCCGTCCTGCGGCTGGGTGGGGAGGGGATTTGCTGGATTTTAAGGAGTTTTTGGGATGGGAACTGGCCCCCACCGGTCCAGTGCCGGGAAGGAGGCGGCTCGAGGGTCGCAGGGAGGTGAGAAGATGGGTCCACGGACCAACCTGGGTCCTTACGAGCAACATAGGGCAGACGGAAAGCTCCCGGCTCCAGCCCTGCTTTTGGGCTGAATCAGCGAC